AACAAGCCGCAAAAAACCTACCGTCCCAAAAACGCCGTTTTTAGAGTACTATCTAAAATAACTACGATTAGCCAATATCCTTGCTTTTTTTCTTAACATAGTCCATCTAGGTGCAGTGTAATAACTACTTCGGCTTTACTAGATATTAGATTTATTCAGTAGATCTAGCTTTTTACAACCCTATTTTACATGCCGCAAACGAACCTACTGTCCCAAAAACGCCGTTTCTAGTGTATTAGCTAAAATATCGAAAATTAGCCGACATCTTTACTTTTTCTTACCATAGTTCATCTAGGTGGAGTGTAATAACTAGTTCGGCTTTACTTGATATTAGATATATTCAGTAGATATATCTTTTTACAACCCTATTTAGAGCCCTACTTTGCAAATCAGAAGAACTACAACTATGTTGCTGATATGTATCAAACTGCATGGCGCGGTCCCAGGGAATTGTAGTTTTTTAAAAATCTAAGTGTTTTTCCCAGATTTGGAAGTTGTAAATATTGAATTGAGAGTACACTGTGGACTTTAAGGGGATGGTAAACACATTTGTGAAATCAGATTTTAAATATCTAATTTCTAAATGGGTGAAAATTAATTTTATCCATATTTTATCCATATCTGACAGCACCCACAGTTGTTGACTACACTCACATGATAGCTGAGGTCAAGAGCTCTCTATAACAGTTGGTCCCATGTCTGTACCCCCTTTCGTTGCTGAGTTATAAGCCCTCAAACATGCACTGAGGTCAAGGTTCAAAGGTCAATGGCTGAAAGCAGGAGCCATGTAGAATCTTCATACTGACATATGTTACTCTCCAGGTTGAGACCTTTCCAATGATGTATTTGGTTTAGCTCTACGACAAAGTTTAGATTTTTTCATTTTTTGGACACAAGCCATGCCAGGTGTAGTTTCAGAGAGCACTTTGAAGGCCCCGTGTATAAAATGAGTTTTGTTTGTTTCTTTGCTTGTTTTTATCTTTTTTACTGTAGATAGTTACTAAAATGAGTCATCCTCAGACAATACAATACTACTAAAAAGTAAAACCAATAATAACAATAATGAAATAAGCAAAAATAATATTAAAATCATATTGAAATGTTAAAATCTATTTACAGAGTGGAATGGTAGCCTAATAGATAACTTAGATAATATTTATTATTGTTTAGACACTTTATTATTGCTTAGATACTATTTAGCCTATTATTGTATTTACTTTTAGCATGTTCTACTTTTGAGTAATTTCCGAGAAGTTATGATAAAAAAAATAAAAAATTACAGACTATAGGAGACAACCTCTTCAATGTCTCACGTCAATTAATTAACACGATTTGTCGGCTTTTTATAATGCCTTTTTTTTTTTTTTTTGCTGCTGTCTCCAGTTGAGAGTGGTGATTTGCTAAATACATTCTACAATAATAATTAGATTAACATTTGGTCTATAATATTGTTGGCTATATTACGCATTTTAATTAAAAAAAAAAGAAGAATAAAAGAAATAAACTGAAATAATTACTGGAAACTTTTCTTTTATTGATACTCACACACATTGAACACGTGATTGAATGAATGAATGATGAATGAATGAATGAATGAATGAACATTGGAAGTGGTTCAGCCACAGTCCCGTCGGCTGGCGCGGTCACATTGAGATTACATTTGTTTTTTATTACTAACAAAATGTTTTTTATTGACCGTATGAATGGTTTCGTTTTCAAATAAATATATGGAAACGAAAATATGCTTTGGTGTACTTTTACAGAGTTTTGCAATATGTATATAGCCTACCTGTATCAAAATGTATAATTTTCAGCAGCGGTTTGTGTGACAGCTGCCACGGTCGGACGTATAACCAGCGGGGCAGCCGCTGGTTCTGTGGCGCTGGCTTGGGGTCCACTCTCCCCTGGTGGAGTGGAGGGTGGCCGGGTTGCCAGGGGCAGACGGCTCCATGTGATGGTGTTTCCTCTCTGGTTCTTCCGTGCTCAGCCTTATTTTTATCTTCTTATTTATTTATTTATTACTGGCGTTTGGATTCAGTTACGGCAGACGGATGGCAATCTGAAATGGAATGAAGCCCACAGACGGCGGACAGCAGCTACAAAACAGTAGTGGAACGCGCCCCATCCGCCCACAGCACAATGCTCTTAAAGCCCTACGCTATCAAAAGCTGGCAAAATACATTTATTTTATTTTATGGCCTTGACATTAACCTGTCATATTGTTGAGTTATCAAGGACACTTCCGCGTTTTTGTGTGTATACAGGAATGTTAAAGATATCATTGAGGAAAACGAGGTTGACGTGACGTGATTGAATCAGGGAATCCGTGTGTCCACCACGGGAGAGGACCCTAATTGACTTTACATTGGCATTGTTTTCGTGGTGGCAGCATGTAATTTCAACCCATTACGTGCTGCCACCACAGAATGCGGTGTTAAGAGGTCGTGGTCATGTCACATATTTCTGTGAGATCAGGTTGTGTCTTGGGTGATCTGATCACAAGTAAACAGATCTAAGTCTGTCTGTTCACACATGGCATTAGAATGCATCCCTATGTGTGTGTCATGTGGCTAATTGTGATTGGATCTCACTTCCCCACTCTATATGCAAATAAACACCCTAACCCTTGGTGGTAGGAGAGTGACTCTGGAGTCCATCCTACAGCACTGTGTCTATCCTGTGTCCTGACAGCAACAGAAAGTGTGCTTAATTGTCAGGGAGTGAGATAAGCAAGCTGAGTAGGCGGTCCGTTAATGTGACCCAGAACACATAAGCATACAGACAATGTGGTTTCATTCCCACTAATGCTGATGCTTTGCCACACCCTTCAGGAATGGTCGTAGTAAGTTTTGGCAAAAAAAAAAAAAAAATAAAAAATTAGTTGTTTTTGGGTTAGGGTCAAGCAGCAACCTCCAGGGCTGAAAAATTAAGCCAACAGGTAAGTGCCAAAAACTACAGTTTGTCAAAGATGCTTGATGCTGGCTATAGGAGCCAGTCAATCCCCACAGACCCCTGTGTTAAAATGCCCAACTTTACAGCAGAAATAAACCAAGTACAGCCTGGCAGAAAAAAATGGTTTTGGTCTCTATAGCTAATTTCCTTGTTCATAACAACTGTGCAGGAGGTGAATTTCATTTATAACTCACCCATTCACATTTTATTTGGGCTTAAAGTTGAGCATTATTAGGGAGGGCCGCTTTGAGTGACAGGCTGCCTGCATATTGTGTTCTCGGGTTCTTAGTCAGATCCACTCCTCGCCAGCTCATTCATTCATTCATTCATCTTCTAACCACTTCATCCTCTTGAGGGTCGCGGGGGGGCTGGAGCCTATCCCAGCTGACAATGGGCGAGAGGCAGGGTACACCCTGGACAGGTCGCCAGACTATTGCAGGGCTGACACATAGAGACTCTCACATTCACACCTACGGACAATTTAGAGTCATCAATTAACCTAGTCCCCAGTCTGCATGTCTTTGGACTGTGGGAGGAAGCCGGAGCGCCCGGAGAGAACCCACGCTGACACGGGGAGAACATGCAAACTCCGCACGGAGGGGCTCCCACACCCGGGATCGAACCGGCAACCCTCTTGCTGTGAGGTGACAGTGCTAACCACCACACCACTGTGCTGCCCTCCTCGCCAGCTTCTGGGCCAAATATGGTCACTTCTGGCTCCAAAAAACAAGATGGCAATGTCCGAAGTGCAAAACTCAAGCTTCACAATGGGAGTCCAAAAACCACAGTGGCTATGTCCATTATTTATACAATCTATGGTTTGGGTTTTGGTGAGCACGTGTATTACGTAATGTGACGCAAATATGTCATCACATTAGTGTGCATCGACCGTATGTAAGTTATGTAACATTACATTACAACAACACTGACTTTTGGTGTGAAACAGGACAGGAACTGCAGTCTCTGAGGTTAAAGTCTTGTTTCCCTCCCATCCTACATGGCCTTTCTCACACTTTATACCATGCAAGTTGCTCTCAACATCAAATATTACCAGGTTGGGTTCACAGTGGAACCAGCTGAAAGCCCAGTGCGTCTCATAAACACACTCAAGGATGTCTTTGGTATCGATATCACACTGAGCGATGTGAGGGAATGAAAACAGGTGGGTACACACTGCTTAAACGGATCTCAAGACGCACTGAGGACACACTGGGTGCATTCACACCTGTACTTAGAGCTGTCTACTTGTGATCCATTTACCAAAGACACAGGGTCAGAGACAGTTATCTCAAACCTGGACAAACCAAAACTATCTGCATTGCTATCACCACCGGTGTAAAAATATGTTAAAGTGACTGATCCTATATGTTTGACCCCCCTAACATCATTAGAGAATTCATACAGAGTGTAGAACACTGGCTGTGATATTGGTTTACTGTAACCTTTACTATCTCCACAAATACTGTAGTTCATTCTAATTCATGAACAAATAAAATCTTTCTATGTTGCTCCCTAGGAGTAAAACCTCATCAAGGATCCCAGGTGTATGTGACATGAAAACATTAACAAAACTCCTTTAAACACTTTGCTGTTTCTTTCTTCTTTTCATAAAGAGAAAAGTTTCTTCATTTCATCTGCTTTTCAACATTTGATTTCATCCTGGTTCGCTGTGCCAGCGGCACAGAGCACTAAGCCACGATGAAGTGGTGTAGAAGAATTTACTAAAAGGAAGTATTTGGACTGGAGGGAGCCTCCAACGGAACCTGAGGGCCCGCAGAGGAAACAGCACTGTCACAAGCTACTGTTGTTTTTTAGGGCAGCCTGCATGGCCCAGTGCTTAATGCATGTTCTCTCTGCCTGGAGCATGCAGTGTTTATACTACATCTGGAACACACACACACACACACACAGTCTGCAGATATATAACCCACACTCACGAACAAGCTCACACACTGTCATTAGAATCTTTTTTCTCAGGGAGATTAACCTGAGGTTGTTTAAGTAATTATGAGATGGCTTACGCACGCGCACACACGCTAAAATCTTACCTTAACCGCGTCTATGTGAGTGACATTGTCAAACATCATGTCGTTCACGGTCACTATCTGGTCTCCCACCCTCAGTCCTTCTCTCTCGGCCGATGAGCCAGGCTCCACTAGGGACACATAGATCCCCACGCCGTGCTCCGACCCCCCGCGGATGCTGAAGCCCAGACCCTCGTGGCTCCTGGAGCGCGTCAGGGTGACTTTGCGCACTTCCCCGAAGTGACCCTCAAAAAACGGCTGGGTCATGGAAGCCGACAACTCCGCGGCGGCGCTGTAACCGTCCGGACAGCCTGAGGTGAGGGGCTGTTCATGGATGGAGCTGACATATTTCTGCAGAGTCGAGTCGCCCTCATCTCCAAAGCCCTCCGCGCTACCGTTGCTGGGGAGCAGCTCCGTCTTCAGGTAGAGTCCCTCGGAGGTGTACTGGTCAAACAGCAGCTGGTCGGACCTCGGGATGACCAGGCGCAGCATGGGCAGCAGCTGTCGTTTGCCGGGCGTGTTAAGAATTACTTTAAGAGTTTGGACCAGGTCGAAGACGTTGCGCTTGGCGTGGTACACATTGAGACAGTGGATGAACTGCTCTCTCTCCAGGTCGCTGAGCAGCAGGTTGAGAGTGTTGTGGAGCCTCCGGACGTTTGCCGAAAGCGCACGGCCGCCCGAGCCGGCCGAGTTCACCGATGTGTTGAGCGAAACGCGCTCCAGATCAGCGCTCATCCTACAACATAACGGGGAATCAGTGCATCATACAGACCGGAGGACGGATCGATCATTTGTTAAGACGCTGTTCAAGACGATCCTGCCGTTTGAAAGCGAAACGTGAAACAGCTCACCGGGGCAACTTCAACAGGTGATCTACGCGCGTAACGGCGCTGATGTGCGCCGCACACGGTGTGTCAGCTCGAAACAAAACATTTCCCAAGTAAATGCTCGCATTCGTCTCGCACTGAAAAAAATATACATGTTCTTTCTGTCCTGTTGTCTTTTTACTCCATGCACAACAAAAGATTTACCGCTGCTTTCACCGGGACGAGCTTCAGCTTCATTCAGATAGTGTCCAGTGTGATAAAACCCAGCAGATTAAAATCCGTAAGGCCTCTTTTTATCCTTGTAACTCATAAAATGCTCCCTTATAAGAATGTCTTTTTTTAGTAGTTATTCTGTCCACAGAACAAACTCTAGAGTCTTTCGACGGAGTCCGTTCTGTGCGCAACTGGCAGGGAGCGCTGAATTGGATGCTCTCAGACCCTCTGTGCATAGGAAATGACGCAGGTGTGTGTGTGTGTGTGTGTGTGTGTGTGTGTGTGTGTGTGTTGCTTAGAAACTGACAACATTACTCACCCCTATTTAAATGATTATTTTTGGCAAGGCTTTAGCTGATGTCATACATTGCTGAGTAAAAGCAGGAAAAGAAGAAGTTCAAACTACAAATAACTCCCACAAACCGGTGAAATGTCAGGACTCTCATTTTTCATCAGGCCTACACAATTTCTTGGACTGAAGTGGGTGAATCCCTGCTTGGAACGACGGTTTATCCTGACAACTTCAAAGCATATTGAATGCATTGCTTTGGGTGTGTTGGTCGGTTCATGTGGAGGCATATGACAGCAGGTGTCTGCCTGTCAGCCTTTAAGCTGATCAAGCTGCATTATAGCAAATGCCTCCTTGAGACTCCTTGTCATAACTAGAACCTAAGGCTATTTTTAAACAGCTATTTATAGGAGCCCAGAGTTGTCTTCCTTCTCATGACAGTAATGAGCTCCTTCTGTCTGGCACATAAGCATAATGAGAGTCCCAGGACACACTCCTGCCACACCAAGGTGCTGCTGAGGAGATTGGGCAGGGCACAGCTGTGCCCCTCACCCTCAGGAGGTGTTTGGTCAATGCTGTTAAACACAAAATTCATTTCTCATTGCATCATCATTGAGGCTTCTATAAAGTGACCCTGCTGCCACCCATTGTCCTCCATTTGCTGGTTGACCGTGGTGATTTGTGGTGATGCATACAAGCAGAGAAAATTAACATTTTAATATTCCTCACTATCGCTTCGCCCATCTCGTCATCATCCCTCACCCCCCTCTGCTGGTCAGTTTTCAAAGAATAGGTTAGCCATACAAGGAAACTGTGTGAAAATACATACGTCAGTACAAAGGAGAAAAACAGTAAGGTAAGTTTATCAGTAGACTGCATTTTTTTTAGATAAAGGCAATTATTTCTAAGTGCTTAACACACTGCATTGAAACATTAAAAAGGAAGAACAGCTTACAATAAGTTATAATTAAAACATTAGAAACAATTTGAAATGAAATCAAAAAGATAAAAACAAGAAATACATACTTGTTAGGTACAGTTAAAGTCAGGGTGAAAAATAATGAGGGCTTGCACCTGCATTCACTGATTGTTTTGGCCGATCAGGGAACAGCATCTGCAGTTTCATTCCCAATTTGTCAAATACCAACATTTTATCAGTGGTTTTGACGTCAGACACAGACACAAAAAGGCACCTTTCAGGGCGGTATGATATGCCGCCAGGCAGCGTGAGTTTAGAACAGTGATGTTATGATACCACAGCAAAAGATGCATCAGTTTATAATGCTGCCAAACGGTGTCAGTTTGAAATACCGTGGTTTACACCATAATATAAGGAGCTGGAAAGGTCCTGTGGGGCGGTCGGGAAGGGAGGTAGAGGGATCCAGCAAACCCCAGATTTTCACCTGGGAGGTCGCTGTTTGCTACTTGTGTGAATGCTGGCCCAAACTATGATGTATTTTTCTAAACCCCACCACATGCTTTTGTTGCACAAGGAAATAAATATGCGGTGATTTACTGACATTGTAAGCTTATTTTGAACTAGAAATACTGCCCCGCAATTGTATGCCTCCACACACACACACACACACACACACACAGCACAGAAGATCTATATAATCAGCACAGTTTCAAGGTGGACACCCAAGATAGTATCACCAATAAAGTATCTGACCAAACGTCTCCCCTTCTGTTACTGAGATACAACATTAAATAATGGCTAGAAAAGTGTTTAACGCAGAACATTATGATGTCACAATGATGCTGACCTTTGACCTTTCGAATATGAAATGTCATCACTTAATTATTTTTTCCTGTGAGACATTTGTGTGAAATTTTATCATTAATAGCATATGAATTCTTGAGTTATGAGCAAAAACATTTTATGAGGTCATGACCTTGACCTTTGACCACAAATGTCTAATCAGGTTATTCTTCAGTCCAAGTGGGCATTTGTGTTAAATTTAAAGAAATTCCCTGAAGGTGCTTCTAAGCTAACGTGTTCACAAGAATGAGATGGACCTGACTTTAACCTTTGATCACCAAAATCTAATCAGTTTATCAATGAGTTTAAGTGAACATTTGAGCCAAATTTGAAGAAATTCTCTTAAGGTATTCTTGAGATATAGCTTTCACAAGAATGAGGTAGATTAGGTCAAATAGACTTAACCTTTGACCTATGACCACCGAAATCTAACCAGTTCATTAATGAGTCCAAGTGGACATTTGTGCCAATTTTGAAGCCATTCTTGAGATATCATGTTCACAAGAATGGGGCGGCTGGACAGACGTATGGATGGACAGACAACCCAAGAGCATAATGCAGAGGTATAAAAAGACTGTATGCATCTAAGGTGCAGAAGCTGTACATTTCCTGTGAAAACGGATGTGTATTTTGAAAAGACACAATCCAAGTAGCAAACTTAGATTGACAAATCGTCCCGGAATGTCAACAACAGATGCAATGTAGATATGAAAATCCACTGACCAAGTGGCGATATTTGATGAGTTGGGTTGAGAACGTGTTGGCACAGCAGGTTGATGACGTGAGATTGAAATAACGACCTGAAAGATGCTAAAACTGAGGAGAACTGCAGCGTTGGTGAGAATTCTCTGTTGCTTTGTCAGCACGAATGAGAGTTTTCACAGTACACATTGCCATGTTTTCATTAAGTAGTATAAAAATTTTAATTTGTCAGCTTCAAGGTTAATTAAAAAGCAGTGGACAACAAACGGTTTTTAAATGTAGTCACAGCCTGGGCAAATCTGATATCTGGAATTTTGTTGCAACTCTGTGGTGCCTATTAACTAAATGCAGCATCTCGATGTTTAATTGAGCAGAGAAGGAAGTGGCAAGTTTGGGTTGGATCGGTCACAAAACACAGGACTTTCCCCCGGGACTTTCCCCAAGAGACATGTGTTTAAACCTGCTTGGACTTTGACTCATTCTAAGATACATCCTCACTATGTTCCTTTTCCTAAACCTAACCGTAGTAACTTTACTTGCCTAAACCCTATAGTGCAACACACACCGCCGCCATACGCCGTGCGTCAAAACGCCGACCTCCATTATATTCTATGAACAAACCCACACCGGCGCCGGCCGACGCGCCGCGCCGCTCTGCTTCAGCTCACTGCTCTATTTCCAGCGTGGCTGGCGCTGCAAGAAAAGCATTTTATGTACGTCTCGGCAGCCGTAGTATCAACTCCAGTTTTTCAAATTTTTAATAAAACGATTTTGATAAGAAACTCACCCGTGAAATCCAAATTGTTGTTGCCTCAAAGTTTTTCCTCTTCTTCTTCCATTACAAGCAGTTGGCAACCGTTGGCAACTAGTGTAGGTACAGCCACCTAGCGGGCTGGGGTGGGAAATACACATCGATGGCGCCGTTGCCAGTGTGTGTTGGGGGGCAGCACTTGACGGCCACAGCACCGCGCCGGCAGCAGTGTGTGTTGCACTTAAGACACTCAACCACGTCCCTTTTCCTAAACCTAATCCCAGAAACTTTAACTTAGAGTTTTTCTCGATTGTTTACACACATTTTCTGAAAGCATGCCTCATACTCTCAGAACTCTACACACAAATCAAAAAACACACACACAATGGGCAAAACCCCTCAATTCTCCTGCAAAATGTAACTTTACATTCAAAACAATGTTATTTCTTCTCAAAATGGTATTTTGTTTTCAAATGACACACACAAACCATCATATGAATAGACATTTATAAGAACCAGTTGAACACTGATGTGCTCAATGTAAAAAACTATGATGAATGGAAAACACTTCTTCTCCATTCATCATAATGACTTAGGCCTATTTTTGTTCAGTGTTACACTTACTACAGACAGTACATACCTAAGTATGTTATAAAATATTTTAGAATATTGTTTTTATACTCAGAACACACAAATACACGGTAACAAATATATTTTATTTTTCCCACAAAAACAATGTACACAGTGTACATCCCAACCAACACAAAGTTGCACATACAGTGGTCTACATACAAAACAACAGATGAATTTACTGTATACACTTACAGTAAAAAAAAAAAACAACTATGCTGCATCCTCTCTTCTGTTTCGGTCTGGCCACAGCACCTCATCCACATCACAAGCAATGTTTTCCCTGGCCAAGCAGCGGGGGAAATATCGCCTAGCATGGCGAATCCAGCCATGAAAAGCATCAACTGCTATATCTCCACATGCGTCTTCCATAGCTTGGAGAAGGGGTATACGTGTTTGTGTATTGACGACTTTCCATCTGCAGGCAGAAAAAGTGGCTCGGATCTCATCAGAGATTACGGTCCTTGGCCTTCCTCATCCTCGTCCTCCCCGTCCTCCTCCTCTTACTCTCTCTCCTCTGGCTCTGGCTCTGCCTCTGTTTCCAATGTTGGCATCCATTGCTCCAAAACAGAAGAGCTCACCTGTTGCCCTTTTATGCTAAAGCTCTGATTGCTAATTGTAAAACTGTGTGACAGCTGTTTGCCCATGTGATGAGTCAGTGTGCATAGTAGGGCAATTAACTTTAGAATTTTGAATGACAGTGTGTTCCTTGTGGAAACAAGAGCTTTTCTTCATGAAAATTGTGCCAAATGCAGAGAACTGTGTGTAGTGTTTTGAAAAAAATGTGTTTTAGAACTGCAATTTGAGTGTAAAGCAGGAATTGTGCTTATAGTTTAGCAGAATTGGTTCAGGGGGTTGGTGCATGAGTTACATGTTGTGGTCATTGTATCTCAAGTACCAGTATTTGTGTGTAAACAACTGAGAAAAACTGTAAATATAGGCAGGGTTTTTACCTGATGACAATGACCATCCAGCTCCCACTGTATTTCTTCTTCACCAACAGTACAGAAAATGTATGCACTTTGGTGACTGTCCATGGA